TATTTACCTGTTTATGAGTATAACCAAGACGAAATATAGCCCTCCAAATGGTACAATAGCTAATATGATAGTTCAACTATAATTCTATTTCCGATTGTAGTTCCCACAAATACCAATCTATTTTTTCTTTCAAAAGATTTTCTAAATATTTTATATCATCAACTCCAAGTATTCTAGATCGTCCTAATGATGGTAATTTTTTTTCAACGCATCCATATTTTTTAAAATGTAAAAAATTCTAGAAATAGAAGTTTTACTAATATTAAGTTGTCTTGCTATTGTTCTACAAGAACAACCTTCTAAAAACCTTTCAACTATTAGTCAACGAATATGTCCATTGAGTTTTAAAATAGGCATGTTGCAATAAAGATGAAATAAATCTTTTTTGTTGATAATGCATTATCACGTGTTATTTTGAATTTTAATTTACCGAGTACTCGACAACTCTGATAACCTGGTAAGTACTCAGCTAAAAAAATTGCCGAGTGTCCCGTTACTTATGAAAACAGCTGTAACTGATTGCACATTTTTATGTCTAACAGAATCTAAAGAACAATATTGAAACAATTTAAGATATTTTTTTTCCCATACGGTATATTTACGTGGTAGGGACGTTGGCGTCTGAGTTTTGTTTCGAAAACATAATATAAATTTCTATACCAGTCTTATGGAATGAGAATGTTTTTGTATCTAAATTTTATAGACATTGACACCTTTGTTTTATTTTACATATTAAATTCTAATAGCATTATAAAAACATGATGCTTTACTTTTATGCCTTCACAATTACTATTGAGATGAATAAAAAATGCATATACGTTATAAGATATACTTATATATTAAACATTTGTCTGCGGTTAGATATTAAGCTATACACTATGAATTGACTATAGGTCGAAAATTTTGGATGCTTGATCAATGAAACTCCTTAATTTTTTGTATTCTTTTAGGAATAACAATTTCTGGTTTTTCGTCATACCATACCTCAAGAAGGAAGATTCCATTATCCAGACAAATGCACCTTTTTTGCCGATCATGATTAACAGTGTTCTCGAGTTTTTTGACATCTTTAATGTTAATCATCTAATACCGTTATTCATTATAAGTAAAAAAAATCACCATTTTCAAGTACTACTTTTATTAATAATAAAAAATACTTAATAAAATCAAATAAATAATTAATTAGTTTTTTGATGATATTTTATGATACTATTCTTAACAAAAATATTTGAACATAATAATTTATATTACTTTTTATCATTAAGAATTCTTATTATTTGAAAAGGTCAAAAAAGATAAGTATGATATTAAAAGATCTTAAATAATATTATTTATATGTCAAATAATCATAATTTATCTAAAGTTCAAGAATAATAAATACCAATTGATTTATATTTATTTAATTCATTAAAATAAACATTATTGATGAAATTAAGAATTAATAAAAATTAAAACTATTGAAGAAACTAAAGGATTTTACTGAAGTGCTAAAATTTTACTAAAACTATATTAAAGTCATATAATTATTTATGACGAAATAATAAAATGCTAAAACTATTATAGTAAATATCAAAACTAAAGAAACTATTATAAAACTATATTAAACTCTTATTAAAATTTTACCAAAACTAATCATAGAATTTTGAAAAGATTTAAGTAAGTATCCTTAATAGGATTCTTCCAAATCTATAAGTTTATCTTTTAATCTGATGGTTTTGATAATAATAACTGATTCCAATTAATATAGTTGAAAAATTCTTTTTTTTCTTAATAAGTTTGCCTAATGAATATGAAAGTTAATGATAATAGATAATATATAATTACAAACAAATAGAATGGGATGAGTACCTATTTCAACCACTTATTACAAACAAGAAAATTATAATTTGACTTAGAAAAAAAGTTTGAATTATATATATAAAATATAAATACCTTACTAAATACATTATGACTAATTAGAAAAACTTTTGATAGACTTTATACATCTTCATAAATTAATTCAATAAGTACTATACATAAAAAATATTATAAAAGAAATATATTTTTTTTATTATTAATAATAAAAAAATTTTTAAGATAAAATTTGTTCTAAATTGTTCAAATAATAAACCTTCGCTGAAAAAAAATACCCATAAAACAAAATAAAAAAAAACATAAAACATAATTATAAAATTAAATAAAAAATAAAAAATGCTTAAGTATAAACAAAACCGAAATGCTATAAAAAATGCAAAAAAAAAGAAGTTTTCAACAGAAATGCAAAAAAAAATTATTACAATTGAAATGGTGGGAAAAAAAATGCAAATTTCAGTGTTTGTAAAGAAAAAAAAATATATAAATATGTGCATGCAAAATCAATAGTTGAATAGTAATAACAATGCAAAAAGCATCTTTTTTTAATTAAAGTTCTTTTTTATGTTTTTCGTTACTTTTTTTTTTTCTTTTTTTTTTTTTTTTAAAAAAACAATAGCATTTAAGAATGATACGAAAAACTAAAATAGTTGATTAAAAAAATTTTTTTTTTGGTGATTCTAAATAACTAGGCAATTAACATTAATCGCACCAGCCAAAACTGTCATTAAAAAAAATCATGTACGTTCTCTTAAATAAAATCATAATTCTTTTTTTTTTTTAAAAAAAAAAAAAAAAAGCCTAAATAAAATGTACAAGATATATCATTAGTTGGGTTTTTTTTTATTTCTTAACCTTTGAAACTTTAGTTGTTGATGCCTTCTTAGGTTTATCTTTGCTCGCAGCAGTTGGTTTACGAGCAGGAGTTTTTGATGTCGCTGATGATTTTGTTGTTGAAGTGGTTTTCTTCTCACGTTTTTCTGTTGCTGCAGCTTCCATCTCTTTGATGAGTGTTTTTGATTTTCTTCGATTCTTTGTGCATCCGGTTTCATCTATAAGATGTGCTTTCCAACCTGCTTCAGTCGCAGGCTTAACAACTGTCTTACAAAGAGGGCAGCGAACGATATCTTGTCGAATAGCCATACAAGACTGTTTTGCCATGTGTTCAAGGAAATCATCAGCCTCAATGACTTCACGACATCGAGGACATTGTTTAACAAATTTACTCTTATCACAATCGGTCAACATATGATCATCAAGAGTAGAAATCTCGAGAATCTATAAAATAAATGATGCTATTTAGTTTATCAATTCGAGTAATATAATAATAAACTCATGTTTTACATCTCAACTTACAATATTACACAAACGACAATTGGTCAATACTGGACAGTCGTTCCAATAATGTGTAACCAAGTTTTCTTCTGTGTACTTTTCATCGTGTTCATCACAGAAAATACAGCATCTAAATGATAAGTAGGTTTAGAATGGACCCGTTGAGGTTAAATTGAATTTAGTAATGGAAAATGGAGGTTTGTTTACCTATCACTTTTTGAATCATCAGGCTCATCAGTTAATGGCTCAGAAGTAAATTTGCTTGGTACTGTTGAAGCGTCTAAAGAATTGATGATAAAATAAATACAATAAATTTATTAAATTAAATGATATATATATAAACACACACTTGAATTATTAGCAGAGGGTTTCTTTCCGCTTTTTGATGTTGTTTTTGCATCATCTGTTGATCCTCTTCGAGTTACGGGTTTAGCAGCGGTCGATTTTGATGTGGAAGTTTTCTTACTAGGAGCGACTTTGCCATCATCTTTTGATTTCTTTGCTGGGGCGGCTTTACTAGGAGCTGCAGATTTACTTCCGCGAGAAGCTGGAGTTTTCTTGCTGGCAGCAGTAGCCTTGCCTCTTGGAACGGAAGGCGTTTGGCTACGACTTGGATGTTCTCTACTTTCAGCTTGTTTTAGTAGTTGTTCTTCTAATTCTGCTGCTTCAATTTCCGCAACTAATTGAGCTTCCAATTCCAATTCCTCTAATTCATCTAATTCATCTTGAAAATGTGCTTTTGTAGAATTGGCGAGATAATTATCATATTCATCTTTAATAATGTGATTGGTAGTATTCATCCTGAACCGTAATTCCATCAATTGCTGTTCTAATCGATTAACTGTTCCACGTTTCGCCAATGGCTTTTGAAGCAACACTTCGTCAACATCATAATTCTTTAATGCGGCCTTTGCTTCTTCTGTCAAACCTTTAGGTTTATGCTTGGGTGAAGGTGGGGGAGAAGAAATTTCACCTATTAAATTATTAAAAAAATTCAATTATTAAAATCATATAAAAGGTTATGTAAAACTACATGACTATTATCTATCATTCTTTTACCTGCTACTTTGCCTGTCGTTGCTTCCCATTCGGCAACAAGTTTCCATATATCTTCTAATAACGAAGGTTCAACCTCCGCAACATATGATTCAACATTTTGTTTACCAATACGTTTAACAATTCCAACTACAAGCCTTACAGCGCCATCGCGTACATCATCGTGATGATTGTTTAAGTAAGATATTGATACTTCCATAAGAGCCTAATCAATTACAAAAGTATGTAAATAAACAAATAAAAGGTAAGTCATATATATATATATATATATATACGATATTTTTTAAAAATAATAATAATAATACTAACGTCAAGACTTAATTTGTTATCTTTATCAAATTTGCACTTTGGAATTTTGACAACCCCAAATTCTTCTACTAATCGAGTTATCAACTCAACAGTGGGTTTTGCTCTTTTCAATGGTTGTGATGGTGTCTTTGCAGGCTTAAGGACTAATGATAAAACTGATTGAGTCGGTGTCCTATAAGTTTTAGCTAATAAGATAAACAGATCAATAGAACTTCGTTTTACGCGATCATTGATATCTGCTGTCTTGACGAACAATAACTCATAATTATTTTCAACCGATTTCCATGTTGAACTATTGGGAATTTGGTGGTAAACACAAAATTCTATAATGATAAATTAATTAAATGTTAGTAAAAGATAAATTATATAACTTTTTTTAAAAAATAAAGCAATAAACTTACTGATTAATTTTTCCCAGAGAGCTAAAACATGCAATGTGTACTCTTCTCTGTTATCATTTAAGGCCTCTTGTAAAACTTGATAAGTGGCTTTGACTAATGAAAGCTAATAAGAAAATAATATGAAATATTAATCTACTGTAAAATGATCATATAAATATCAAAGTCATAATCACAACTTACTTTATCGATACCATCAATATTCAAACCATTACCATCAACGATATCGATCCTCTTTGTAACATGAACTATGGCCGAGTCCCTTAAAAAATATTTACTGGACAATAAACATGCAATGATATAATCTCCAAAGAATGGAATTGATAAAAGAAAAGCAGATCTTGCTAATTTAGAGAGAGGTTCGGGTTCATTTTCAGGTAATTCATGTTGTGGCGGTGGATTTACCATAATGGCTACTGCATTTGAGGAATTTAATGAAGATTTATCATCTACGAACGGTGTCCAAGGCAAAGGGGTCGTTGAATAAGTAGGTGTAGTAGGTCTCGTGAGTTCTTGCTGTTGTTCATACGTGTAATTGTTATAATTGTTACCTCCTAAATATCGGTTTAATGATGCATCACTATTTCTCCGACTTTTGGACATTAACGGAAACATTGGTTCTGGAGCTCGAGCACCAGATGCACGATCTATTGATGCAGTGCTGTTTGTTCGACTTTTAGGAATGAGTGCAGAAGTGGCAAGTAAATGGTCTTGACGGAACTGATGTTCATTCTCAGAAAATACACCAATTACGTTAGGGTCGGTTTGTTGATTTTCTAGGTCATCATTCTATTCGAATATATATAGATATATATATAAAAAAAAAAAAAATAAATAAAATAACAAAACATCATTACTATCACTATACATTGGCTTTATAAATACATAAATATATACTATATATACTACAACTATTGGTTCATACACTATATTTATCATTTTTTTTAAACAATAAATAAATACAAGAAAAGAAAAAAAAATTTTTTTTTAAAACTATTTAAAAGGTGGAAAAGCTCTACTTTATAAATTAATATACTAAAGGTTACATTCTTCAAAAATATCAACCGAATAACGAATACAAAACCCTTTCCAGCAGGGAAATGTAAACAGATTTTTGCACCAGTCAAAATATCCGCGTTAATCCGAAGAATTTATGAGAGTCACTTTTTAAATTTTTATATCTACATCACTTAATCCTCGAGGCTTATCTTTTCGATATTCGCCAGCGAATAGTATCTGGGACTCACCTCAGGTTCTTCAGCTAATCCGATAATATCTTGTAATGATGGATCGAATATGATCACCTCTCCAAACTCATCCAAATCAATACCTTCATCGGATAGAGAGGTACGGATCCCTAACCTAATGGCTTCAGCTTCACGCTACAGTTACAGTAAAAATGAAATATTAAGGTTTAATTATACCGAAAATAAATTTGAGATATTTCAAAATATATACATAAATTGGATAACTACCTTATAATTCTCGGCACTGTCAAATTCTTCATCATCAACGGCCTGCTTTTTCAATACTTCAAAGTTGCATACATCTTTGGCAGCCTTGAAGATTGATGAATTTTTATTAAACGAATCATTAAACAAAAGGCAACATTTTTTTTTATCGAATTTTTACCTTCTTGATCATTTCAGAAAATACTTTCAAAACTTTAGCCAAGTGAAAATCTTCCACTATAAAAAAAAAATTTTTTTATTTTCGAAAATTTAGTTTAAATTAATTATAGATCAAATCATCTTAACATCGATCGCAAAAAAAAAACTTGCCTTTCACCGCGTTTTGTTTTGCTCTGCCAAACGCAGCTAATAATTTTTCCGTCTCCTCGCCATTTAACAAGAAATCATTGGCGGTTACCGGGTTATATTTGTTCGTTTGTGCGTCATTCTTGGGGTCAATGGGCAACGGGTTGGTAGTAGTGGAACTGCTATTATTTGCCGCTGATAATAATGAGTTGGGAAGAATAGAATATAATGATGTGAAATTTCTTTGATCATTTGGATTATTATTAATCATCCTATCTTGGATGAAGGGGACGATACATGTCTCGGGCGATGCTACACGTGACAGACCTTCGTCAGCATGCTAAAAAAAGAACAAAATAAAGTTAATAATATGATAGAGGTTGGTAAAGTTATCTATAGAAAAATAATCACGTACCTCGATTGGGATTTTTTGACTTTCACCTGCAAGTAAATAATCAGCTGGTTCTCCCATAACGGTTATCCCTACTATACCGACCTATAATGAAAATTATTAAAACATATATATTTTCATCATAATTCACCATTTGTCATTACGAAATAACGTACCTGATTGTATTGATTTAAATTATTTGCGTAACAACGACGCGCAACTAATCTTATATATTCGCCTTCAGTATCAAGACGAACTGATTTTAATTCTCGAGCTTTATAATTAGCTCGCTCGTTGTTATCGAGAGCGCAATATCTATAAAATTTAAATGAGAATTAAAATTTTTTATTTACTTACTATATTAAGATATAATAAAAAGAGCATACCCTAATCGTCGAAATAGTATATAAGGTTCACTATTCGGCCTAATTATATCGTAATCATTTTCTTCGGATGATGATGATGATGATTCTTCCGAATCTAATCCATCATTTTCTATAACTTTTGTAAGTTTATCCCAAGATAATATCTTTTTTTCATCAACGCAACTTCCAGTATTAGTATTAACGCCTACTATTTCTTTCCTTCGCTGTATTGTCCCGACATATATTTCTAATTTTGTTGCGATCTTATAATGATGTGATAAAATCTGCAATTTTCGAATTCGGGCTGATCCACATGATACTTGTAATATTATTTCTTGTGGGTATTTACAAAGTCTTTATTATTATTATAAAAAAGGTTGAGAAGTATAAAGGTATAACGGTAAGTTGTAAAGAAATAAAAACTTTTTGAGTACTAAATCACGTGATTCATTCAAACGTAGTTGTTACGCCGCCTCTGTGTTGCACAGATTAAATCCCACAATTTTCAAAAAATATTTAAGTAAATAATCGAAAATTAAAAAAATTATTCACCTTTCCGACTGCCATCCCTTGCCATGTTTAATTTCTCCTCCAGGTGAACTTTTGTCTTTTGGCAAAAGTTGATGTGGCGGATAGTTATCATCCCAAGTTGATGCATGTATAACCTCGTATTCCAGATGATTTAAAGGCATTATCGATTGTGAGGGTGCGGAAACTTGTAAAAATGAATCCAGTTTATCGTTGTCGTCGGGAGCAACGTAAGTTAACAAAGGCGAAAATGATTCTTTTGTCGTTTGACTATCGGTTTTGTATTCAATGCTTGAAGTGTTATTTAAAATGTTTGCAAGTTCAAGTGTCGCGTCTTCGATATTAGGTGGCGATTCTTTAATATCGTCTTCTGTAACACTACTAGTATTTTCAGTTAGTTTATTATTTACACCTTTCTCTTCTTCTTGTTCGTTGGCTAATTCCTTCGATAAAATAGTTTCTTCAACGACAAGAGGTGCTAAAGTAGGGTTATTATTATCCTTATTCTCTTGCGTCTCGCTCTTTACTGTGGTAGAAACAAAATTTTCCTCTATAACAAAATCAGATGTATCAGAAGGTGATGATGGTTCGTATTCTTGAGATGGTAGATTCTCCTTATCTGGGGATATTTGCGGTGAAAGAGGAATACCACTAATCTGTTGTTGTTCAATCATATTTTAAAAGTCGAGCAAGTAAAAGAAAAAAGAAAAATGATAAGTTTAAAAAAATGAATTTGAATGTTTTCTTTTTGAAACTAGTTTGTTTAATAAAAGTCAAATTAATTATCTCAATCAATGATGAAGATTTTTTTTGTTTGTTTGTGTTATCGGACCCGACCTCCAGTCACTCTATATATATAATTTTTTTCAATATCAATCTCCTCATCAAGAAATTAAAACGTTTAGATAAAAAAGTCATCATCATCATACATGAGTAGCAAGAAAGACATAACCAGCCAATCGCAGAGATCCAATACAAGGACTAATCCAATGGAGTATCAATCTTATTATTTTGGCATGGGCTGAGATGAATATACAGCTTTCTTGTGATACTCTTGTGAATTGACATAAATATATCGACAAGAGAAAAAAAAAAGAAAGAAAAATATGCAAAGAGAAAATATATGCAAAGAAAAAAAAAATCTTACGCGGATAACCAAAACCGGAAATAATCAAACCAAAATGAAAAAAGTAAAAGAGTATAAAAAAAGAAATAAGGTTTGAAAAAATATGTACGGATGAAACCTTACCTGTGAAAATAGGTTTGAAGGGCAATAGAACGGATACTATTAAAAGTGAATTGTGTGCAGGTCTTTCGAAGTTGGGATGTGAAGTTAGGGTGTGACCCGTCTAAAAATAATCGATTTTTTTTTTTTTTAAAGGAAAAAAAAAATTTCAGATTTAAAAGGTTTGTATATTATTATTATAAAAAAAATTAGATAAAAAGATAAGGGAGGAAAAGGAAGAAGTATATATTATAATGAAATAAATTTACATAAATTAAAAATGATGTTTTTTTTTTCCCTCTTTTTTTTTTTTTTTTTTCTTAAAAAGTATTAAATATGGAAAAAAATTACTAAAAATTACTTTTTAAAGCTGCATAGAGGAAAGAAAAGGTGATATAGAGATATATATATAAGATAATAATATTATTATTAGGGTAAGCTTGTCTTATTGTATAAAGAGGGGAAGTTACGGTAGGAGAGAGAAAATAAAAAATAAAATAAATGGTTGGAGAAAGTCAAAACAAAAAGTATAAAAACAACGAGTATACAGCAAGTTTGTCCAACTATATACTCAAATAAATAATGAGAGAACGAAATGACAATCTCTAAAAAGTGAAGGGAAGAGAGTAAAGGAGGTGAAAAGGAAAAAATTAAACCCAACAAACAACCACACCACCTTTTTGTTGCTGTTGTTTTTTAGTCGGATTTTTTTTTATTATTATAATCTCCTTTAATTTTTGTATATTAATTACTATAATAAATTTTTTGGCGGGATGCAATGATGATTATTTCCGATACACAAAAAAAATGTCAAACGAAACACAAAACAATATTTGAGCAGTTTTTTTTTGTTAAGTCTACCCATGATTGGTCTATGAAATTATCGGACATTAAAATACAATAATACTTAACGTGGCAATTGGATATATTATATGTATATTTTGAAAATTGAACGATCATATTATATTGTGTTACTTTAACCTCTATACTATAAATAATTTTTATTTTATACTCACTTTACTAATTTTACTATATGCGGCGGAAGGAATCAATTTATCGAAAAAGAGAGGAAACAAAAAAATATATTGCCAGAAAACCAGCTGGGTTAGTAAGGTCGAAATAAAAGGAAAATATCTCTTACTTCGGCGATTGCTTCGGTACAGCAGAATGATTCCTTTTTTTAGTTAAATTCCAGAAATGTGAGTATATAGTTAATAAGGTAAGTGGGGAAGGGGGAGAAACTTGAAAGAAAAAAAAAAGGGAAAAAAAGGGAAAAAAAGGGAAAAAAAGGAAAAAAAAGAATGAATGACTAAAAGATGAAGGCATTTATTTATAATCTTTTGGTTCAATACATATAAAAACATATAAAATATGGAATAATACGAATAAAATACCTATCATAATATAAAATTTAGAAGCACAACATTTTCAATGCCTTACAAAAATTCAGCACAATACTCTTTAGAATACATCATTGTGATTCAGAAATGAATAAATGATAAGGGGTAAAAATCCTTGAATGGCGCAGAATGAAACTCGAGTTAAGAATACTTTATTAGAATGGAGATTACTGTCTAAAGTCCATTTTTGGAGTTTATTGACAACTTTAAAATTGGTCTAAGCTCAAATTTGAAAGGGACATCATTTGATGAGTATTCCTTTCCTATCTTTAGAGGAATTAATCATGTTATAAGAGAATTGTGTATATCTGGTTATAAAGCAGGATTTGGTTAAAAAAATATTTTAATGTTGACTCACCTTCCACAGCCGGGAATCAACAAAAGATATTCCAAATGATTTGCAATGATTGGTATTCTTCAAATTTATGATATATTTAAAAACTAATGAATGAACGGCGACTTCCGCGCGTATTTTTTGATATGTGGACATGTCTTTACTGATTTAATCCTTGCCCTCCTAAATGATTCTTTTTCTGTTTTTTGATGTGATACCCCAGATAAATTAATTTTAATTAAAGGCGGGAAGAATATCTCTTTTTATCTGCGCTAACGTTACATAAGGTAGTTTAAAGAACTTCACCTCGGCTTTTCTGATTAATATAGCATAATGTGTGGCAGTGACATAAACAACATAAACAACATAAATAACATAAATAACACTTTGACATCATGTTATCGAATTATATTATTGGAAAATCATTTGTTGAAAATCAAATGATCACAACATAATCAAATGGAAAAATGGAGCTGTCAGGTTATAACAGGTGTGATGGCTATGGTAATTGCGTCACCTCGTTCAAATTTCTTAACTTGTTAAAAAATTCGTCGCTCTTTGCTAAATTTATTTCGCGATTGTTATCCTTTCCTATTGTCCTTTTTTTTTTTTTTTTCATCCCTCACTGAATAATTTTTCGATCAAAAATTTTTCATATTTTTTTTTCAAAAAGTATCAAGCAAAGTTGTGCATATTATATTTATTCATCACATTCTTTTTTATCTTATAACAAAGTATTATGCGCAATACACATGTAAATAACTGAATGTTCAAAATTTTGATGGTGGTGTGCTTTCGTTGTTTTTATCTAATTGTCTTTGTCTAATTGATTGTGAAATAAATAACATCATTTTGTCCATCTTTTTTTGTCTACTTTGTTAATTTCTCATCATTTCCTTTTTTTCTTTATGTAAAAAGATGTAATAATAAAACGGGTTTTTATTTTGTGTTAACTAATAACCAATAAAGTATTGATCAAATGTTCATTGTAAGATTGTAAAGATTGTAAATAATACAAAGTTAATTCAATTGTTTTTAAAAATTATTTAGTAACGCGTAAAAAAAAAAAATTTCCATACAAATCGCGAGAGATTTTTGATTTTCTTACCGATTTTGGTGACAGTTATCATATGTAAAAAATGCAATCTTTCCACTATACAACTTGGTGAAAATGTATCCTCGGTCGAATCTCATTTACGCTAAATCTTTCTGACCGCTAATCTATTCTCGATCCCAATGTCGGAAGAATGCACCTTTCATTTTTTAATATTGTCCCTTGAATTGGCGACTGCGCATGTTACCGTTCACGTGAATCATCATTGTTTCCCGATCATTACCTCCGAAAGTTAGATAATCTAGATATAGATATAGATCATTTCAGATCTAACATTGAAATTTGGTCGCTCGAATTCTTTTCCAAGATCATCAGATGGCCGCAGAGAGGTTCGAACTTTTTTTTTTCCCTAAAGTCAAACCTTTTTATCTTAAATATATTTATTTTCTTCCTTTTTTCTTAGGAAAATTTTGTTACTTGGTTCCGGTTTCGTTGCTGGTCCAACAGCAGAATATATTTTACGGAGACCAGAAAATAAGTTAACTATCGGTATGAAAATAATTATGTTTCATTGAAAGGTTTATTCGAATATCGAAAATCATTCGATTATCATCTAAAAATAGTAATCAGTTTGTTGTTTCAACTTTCTCTACACAAAATAATTATTCTAAATAGAGATTTTAATTGATTTGAATGTGTTGAGCAAACAAAAGATTCCTACGTTATTGTAAAACAAAAAAAAAAACAAAAAAAAAATTACTAAAAGTTAATAGATGCTTGCCGTCTCATTCATGCATTTCAATGTTTTTCATATTAAGAATATTATAAACAAATTATATTTGTTTAGTAAAGTTCAATATAATTTCGGCAATTAATAAAATTAATTTCATCAATTATAAAAAAAAAATTGAAGTTTCGTACAAGTAAGTTTCATTACTTTGGAAGGGTAGTTTCGGCAAGCATCATTACTAAAAGTAAAATGAATTTTCGATATTTGAAATGATCTTCGATGTTATTTACCCTATTTTCATTAAGATCTTGTAAGTTTACTTAATAACTTGAATTTTGAATTTAGCTTGTAGGCGAATTACAGCTGCGGAAGGCCTTGCCAAGCAATTTTCTCGCGCCACTTCAATATCACTAGACGTTACTAACGAAAAAGCTCTTGATGAAGCAGTTTCATGTCATGATTTAATCATTAGGTGAATTTAATCTAATGAAACACTATTCGTTATCAAAATTTTAATCTGAAATATCAAAGATTACTTGGATCGAACGTCCGTTATGTATAACGTTATTAACCTTTTTTTTAACTTTACTTTGTAGCTTGATCCCATATACATCTCATCCATTAGTTATCAAATCTGCAATCAAGTTCAAGAAACACGTGGTCACAACTAGTTATGTCTCTCCTGCTATGAAAGAATTCGATGCTGCGTAAGGTTCTTTTATAGATGAATTTTCTTTTTCTATTTTTTTTTTTAAAAAACAAAATTGATAAATATTGTGTAGTGCTAAAGAGAATGATGTGACCATTATGAACGAAATTGGTCTCGATCCTGGTAATTATAATGAATGGGTTAATTCGGTTCCCAATCCCTTAAATTCTTTATTGACTTTTTTTCTTACTTTTAAGGTATTGACCATTTATATGCGTTGAA